GATTGTTGTTCAATTGATTTCTATTTATGATTTTATGATTAGTGATAATGTTGTAAAATTGAAATTTTATTATTATTTTATATTTATATATTTCAGATATTATTATATTTTTGTATTCTGATGTGATTTCAATGTGATATAGTGCATAAGTTAAACGTCGCAACATATATGTTATTTCTTAACTGTATTGGGGTAACCTGTTTATAAATAAATAAATAAATGAAAACAAGAAAACTCCCTCTGAAGAAATGACCATATTTTTCGACAAGCTTGAAATACTGCTGACACATCTTCCAACAAATTCAAATATTGTCCTTGCAGGTGATTTGAAAATGAATTTTGAAGATAAATCAAATCGTTCCTGTCAGCTTCTGGAACAATTATTAGACTCCTCAACTTAACCATGTACGTGCAATCCGCAACACATATTTGTCAGAGTACATCTACTATAATAGACTACATCTGTTCTAATTTGGATGAGCTCAGCTTTGCTAGCAAATCTCTCAGACCATGAAGTCGTTCTCAGTACACTCAGCTTCCCTGGTAAAGGCATTTCTAAAAAACATAATATACTTGGGCGTATATTTTCTAGAAACAACTATTACACATTTCAAAAGGCCTGTGATCAGACCATCTGGAACAGAATCACACATATAAACACATATTTGAATACACTTAGTAATAATTTTGAAACCGCTTTCCGTATCACCAGAATCCGGAAAAAGGTAAGGAAACCTTGGATAACGAAGGGCATTAAAATATCAGCCAAAAATATGCGCTCATTGAACTACATTAAAAAGATTCATAAAGAGGAACATCTACAAAATTATTGCAATAGGTACCGAAGTGTCATAAAACAGGATAAACTTTCGTATTATAATGAAGAAAAGAGAAATGAAACTTTCTGTTTTTTACCACTTTTATTTGTAACGTTACTGCAGTTCTTCTATAACAGTATATACATACTGTTATAAAAGAACTTCCAACTAATGAATCACAAAGGAAATGTTTTGTTTGGTATGACTTCCATCTCAAGGAAGAAATCTACAAGCCATTAACTTGGCCAAAAAGTATATCCCACAAAGCAGAAACACAGATTTTTGAATACCACTTCATCTGATTATACGATAAGTGGTGAATCATTTCAAAAGCAAAAAGGCACACACTAAGCACAGACAAAATAAACACACACATTTTTAACAGAGGACTGAAAAAGAGGTCAAGGAAATAAGTTTCAGTTTTAAATAAAAGGGAGATGGAATAATTAAGGTGAACCTTCAGTTTATCTTCTGTAACATAGTCAGCAAAGTATCAAGTGGAAAACTAATATGATAGCCAGTCCATAAGTTATAAGCCTACAATTGCAGTATATTACTATGATATAAAGAAGTCGAGTATATATCTACCTGATAGTAGAATCGAATATCAAAAAAAAATAAGAGGGAAATTTAGTTGAAATTTCATCAACTTGTTAGATATTCTGACAAGAGGTATCTATTTATTACACATAATGCACCATTATTGAAAAAATATATACTGCATGATTGAAAATTATAGCTCTGATGATAAAAATGATTTAAGAGCAACTCACCAGTTCGCTGCTCAGTGGAGGCCTTTTGAGACATGAAGCTATAATAGGTTTTATTTCAACAACTTCTTCATCAGGTATATCTTTCACAGCAGGTTTTTCTGGTTCTGGTGGTTTAACATTAGAATGTTTGGATAATGTACAACCCTTGATATTTAAAAATTCTGTGAAGTCTATGCATTTTTTCTTGCAACAACTCCAACCTTTATATGCATCATGGAAAACCGGCTCACCAGGATGATGCCTACAAGAATCTGAGAACATTTCCATAATAGATATATGTTACTATATGAATAACAAACACAATTACAGATTTTCAAATTATTTTAATAAAGATACAATATTTTGTAGAATGGTTATAACCTCAATTACCTTCCTTATTGTTTTCCGGATCGAATTTTTGTCCACATCCTCGATTATAGCACTGAAGCATTATCGAATTATTATTTTGAATTTTGGATTTATTTTTCGAATTCAAAAACTGGAATATGATTCTCAAATCTCAAAGTCAAAGCACCTATTGCCCAATCTGCGTTGCCATAATCCTCTGAAAAAAGTACTAGACAGTCAACAAAGAAAGTACCAACTAGGTAGAATAAAAAAGGACTAATATGCGAATCCGCGAATAATTGATATAGTTACAGTTTTTCGTTTATTTTAAATCTTGATTAATTGAGTGACAAGAGGTGGATAATAATGATGGCCATAATTGACATTAAAATATAATGTGTCATGCGTATTAAATTACAATTTTNCAAGTGGAAAACTAATATGATAGAAGGTTAAGAAACCCTGATATAGGACGAAACTGCAGTAACGTTAGTTACAAATAAAAGTGGTAAAAACATAGAAATTTTCATTTCTCTTTTCATTATGATCTCCTACCACATAGTAACGGCTACACCCATCAATTTATGTATAAATTATTTCAACTTGATATAGGCACTGTTGCCAATAGGTGAATTAGAAGCAAATCCCTTTAAAAATTAAAACCCAACATTTGAAACATCAATTTAAATAGTTTTCGAAGTGTATTTGAAAAACTCTTGAATTAAACTCAACTTTATTTTGTTCAAACTTGCATTTGCTGTAATCACCCAAATTGAGGAACATTCCCCATTGAAGTAACTTGGGAATAATCATATTCGCTCGTTTATCAGAAGTAAATACAATTGTTGAGAAAATATTATTTGTATTTGCAATTTATTGTACACTCAAAATTTCATCACACACGAAAGAAAAATGATTAATATTTACTCATCTGAAATACTCACCCCTTTCAATTCAAAATCTAGCAGAAAAAATGCATTTGCCTGTTGAGGAAATACTAATCTGGCATAAATTCGAATTGAATTCAATTTAACAACACTTTCTGTTGGGCAGTACTGCTTGGCATAAATAGATAAAATGACATGGGAACCAGTCTGATGAAAATCCCATCGGCATTGAACATGTTTCTTGTCACCAGACTGAAAAAAATACAGATTCAACAAAAGAACTCAATTCACTAAAAAAAATTATAAGAATTAAGAATGCAGCTGATTTTTTTGTTCATATACATATACATGTTCGGTTTTCGCGGTTAGTAGTATGTTGTAGTTGAGTTCGAGTTGAACCGCTCTGGTGTTTTGTGTTCGACGTTTCGGCTCCGATTTTGGGGCCATTTTCAAAAATTTTATGTGACTTGACGCCGGGGCCTCAATTTTTCTACTCCCCAGATCGTCACGAGTTCTATTTGCCCACTCCTTAAATTGTTGAATCCAAGTAGTAGGCAGATTAAGGCCCACGCGTTGTTACATCAATTTCTTGAAAATGGCTGTTGGTTTATTTCCTTCTAGATTTTCTTGCTGAATGGGGTCACCGAGCTTCAACCAACTTCCTGGTTCAGCCTTTTTCAGTTTTATTTCTACTTTAGTTCCGAACATAGTGACTTCACTAGCTTCCACATTGACAATCTGAAACAAAATTTGATTGCACATGAAATTGATTATAGTGAAACATTTTCCGGAATTGAAATATTTTGTGAGAAATTCAAATACAATGCTCTCATCAATTTTCATAAAACTTTACAGTAACGTAGTGAAATAAAAGATATAATACATGTATAAATTAGAAAAACAATGAAATATAAAGCTACTTTTCAGGCAATTTATAAAATACACTTTGGACGTAAATAGTGCCCCATCATAACTTTTGAATGAGGCAAGATATCAAAGTTAGATAAAATTTACGTCAAAAGTCATTATTTTCAGTACTTTCTGATGAGAAAGACAATGGTGTTATATCACTTGTCGTAGAGAGGGCTCTACCAATTTTTTTTTAACCAAATTCAAAGACTATCAGGGAAGCACTTGAGGTACTCGTCTCCAAGAACGGTTTAGAGCGGGGGTCTCCAAATTACGGCCCGCGGGCCAAATCCGGC